TTGCAGCTTCAATCCAACTAAGAACAGTTCCCACCTCTGCGAGCTCCAAGTTAAGGCTTTCTGCCGCCTCGGGCAGCGTCCGTTACACTGAGGGCAGATTTACACTCCAAACGCTGCTGTAGCACCTCAGTGAAGACCCTCTAAGCCGCAAGCGCTCTCCCATAGTTAATCCTTCTTCCCGAGCAGCGGTAGCTATGGCGACGGGAGACGTCCTCCCGCCAACCTAGCACAGTCTACATGGGAGGTTAGATCAGGGTAACGATGTTGCTCAGGGGTTGTACCAATTTAGGGCTGTAGTGTAGACCTGGCCTAAGGACAGTTCACACCTCTGCAAGCGATTGGCTCAGGCTCTCTGCAGACCCAGGCAGGGATCGGTTCACACCTCTGCGAGCAATCAGCTCGGGCTCTCCGCACACCCAGGCAGGCAACACATTTTGGGACATTTCTCCCAAACCGTAAGGGTCAGAAATGCCCTCCCTCCCCTCCCCGATAGCCCAGGCTCCGCTCCCGCCAGCGCGCCCCCCTGCCTGCCCCCAGCCAAGCCACCACGCCACAGCCTCGCCTTTGTGCTCTGTATTATACAAACCCCGTTCTGCACAGTGACCAGTTTAACATTCACCAAAGAAATTCCTGCTACAATCCACGCGCTGGGAACGGGACAAAGTCAAGGCCCAGAGCAGGTCGCATGCTGGTGCCCGTCGCTACTACCCCATGGCTCGGGGAGGCGGGTGTGCACGCGGGGGGGGACGGGACCTGGGGGGGTCGAGTCCCCATCCCCCCACCCCAGTTCCCCCGAAATAAAATCCAGTAGGAAAAAAGGAAAGAAAAAAGTGACTTTCTTGTTTTGTGTGCAACTTTGAAAGGAAAATCCACCGGACGCCGGCCAGGGCTGGAATGTCGAGAGTTTGAGTTCGTTTCCTAAATGAGCCGGAAGGGGGGGGGTGGGGGGGGGTGAGGGGCTCACTGGATGGGGGGGCGGGGAGCATCTCTCTAGGATTGGGGAGGGGGATGTGGTGCTGGGGGAGGAATGGCCAGGTGGGGGTCAGGGAACTGATAGGGCAGGGCAGGGGGGTGTCTGTCCAGACTTTTAGAAGGGGGAGGGTTTTTTTGGGGGGGGGAGGAGGTGGTTAGTGCCGGTGGTAATGGGGGTTCAGTAGGCAGCTGATTCCCCACCCAGGACCTGCCCCCCCATATCAGAATGGGGGCGGGGCAGATTGAGGTCGCTGCGGGTGTGTCTCAGCCCACGGGGGGGGGAAGTCCGTGCCCCACACCACCCTAGTGGGGGGGGGAAAACTGCGCATCTCCCCCCCATCCCATCCACCTGACGCCCCACACACACCCCTGTCCAGCAGGGGAGTGTCGTCCCCCCCCCGTGAGGTTAACCCCTGGCTGTCCCTGTCCCCCCCGGGAGGTCAGACCAGCGTCCCTGGGGGGTGTCTCTCCACATCCAGGGGGGGCCCCAGGCCGGGGGAGGGGGCGCTGGGCCCGTCCGGGTAGAGGAGGTCTGCGAAGGGTCTGCCGGACAGAGGCAGAGAGAGCGACAGACAGACGGACAGATGGGGTGGGGGAGGAGACAGATGTGGGGGGGGAGAGAGAGAGAGAGAGAGAG